GCCTCACACCTCAGGCTTCTGAAAAAGGCTCACTATGTCTCACTTCCCCCTTAGTTAACACTGTAGTAAACTCAAAATTTACCAATTTAAGTCTGTTCTAATTTTGCTCAGTTGGTCATAACCGAACTGGCTTGAAGCCTCCATTGAAACCAGACTCACTGAAATGGGAGATCTTGTTATTAATTATAAATTCTTCTCATATTGAAAAATATGTCTTTAACATCTTCTAACGTAATGGTTTATACTGAACTTTTTATTCAAACAAAAAAGAATGTAACAATCAAAACTATCTAAGTACTTGCATGGTCATAGAGGTTTGGTTGCAGTTCAGTGAATTTACTGAGCTTTGAGCTACGAGTCTTAAATTATGAATTCTGCATATTTTAAGATAGTTTCTTTATTGTTAATTTGGCCAAACTCTTAAAATATGCTAAGACTTTACTTTCTGTGAGAAAGAGGTACTGTCATCTGAGAAAATTTGCTGAAAATTAGCAGCTCTTTTTCCCCCCCCATGTCTCTTGGGCCTTATAAAATAGAAAAAGGTGAAAAGTAGACTGCAACTAGAAGAAACCTTTTGATTCTTCAATTTTAAGATATTTTCCTGTGTTTTCAGGGAAGGTTTGCATAACAGTCTTAAATTCTCACCAGTTTTGCACAGTTGTTCAGGAACATTTGTTCTTCACAGTGCTTCCACTCTCATTTCTGTGCATCTGGTTTCTATGCCCCTTCCAGTCTAAATGTGTGTTTTAAAGCAGTTACTTATCATTTGATCTGATGTAGGTTACTTTTAGAAAATATTTCAATAGTTACCAATGACCTTATTTTTTTTTTGAGATAATTTGTTATTTAACTGCAAGGTGTGGCCTCAGGGATTAGTTTGAGTTCAAAGTTTGAAGGATGTCATCACAGGGCTGTCTTGTGAAGTCCTTCAGTCACAAGCAATCCAGTTATAAATCAGGAGCTATTTTGTTTGTTTTTTTTGAGATTTAAAAAAATTTTCTTACAAAAATTTGAGCTGCTGGTTCTCATTTTTCTCCTATCAGGACCCCTGATTAGAGTGGGTGGGTAAGGTTGGTTGGTTGGTAGGTAGGTAGGTAATGAAGGCCAAGCAGGCTCCCATTCTACCGTAGTCTCTTCAATAGAAGCATTATGAAAACATTTTGAAATAGACACAAAGTGAGCACCTATCTCTGGACAAATGACACCAACAGACTTAACTTAACACAGGGGTTGTCAAAACCAATTTATAAACAAACTTACTGATCTTCTAAGTACAGTACAGTGAAGCGCTGTAGAATGGTGAATGCCTGTGTTTATGCAATATAGACTTAGTTTCATCTTTGACTCTTTTTCTTTATTTTTACTGTAGATGAGTAGCACTTAATAATTGTATCGCGCTTGCAAACTTTTAAGCAGCTGACCAAACTGGTGTGTGAAACAGATTTTTATGAACTGTAGTATGGCAGTTGAATGAGATGCCCTGAGAGGGTGGTCGTAATGCATCAAATCAAGAAATCCAATCCCATGAATTGTTTGATTGCGTCATGGTCGTTCAGTGTTACTTTTTCTATCACCATAAATAACAAATGTTTATTATCTAGAGAGGCAATCTTCCCTGGTAATCACTAATGACCATTAATGTCTTTACATTTGTGTATGTAATTTTATAAAAGAGAATGAACACATAGAGTTTACTGGGTTTTTCCGTTGAATTGTTTGTTAAACATAATGTCCTCCAGATTCATTAATGTTTCAGGAACTCATACACCACATATATGCATGTACCACAGTTACTTACTCATTTCTTTGTTGAGGAACATTTACATTGTTGCCCTAGACACCTAGCATTGTTTCCATCTTTTTTGCACTAAGACTAGTGCATCAGTGAACACAGATGTGGGTGTATCTGTTTGTTTCACTTCTCTTTGTGTCTGAGAGTCTGTTCCTAGGAATTTCTAGGTCATACAGAGGTTCTCCCTCTAGATTTTTTTCTTTTTTTCTTAAGCTTTATTGTTATTTCTTTAATAATTTTAATGAGCATTTATAGAGATTTTGGATTTCCATTCATTCATTGCTGCACTTCTCTCCCCGCCCAGCCCCCCCCCCCCCCATTTCGCTCCTCTCTTTCAAAAGTAAAAGAAACACTCCCTCCCTGGGACACAATCCCCCACACACACCCCTCCCGCCATTCCAAGTACATTCCACTATGCAACCTTAATTGTGGACTCTTGTGATAACCATAAGACCCTATCATACATCGCTTTTAAATTATTCACTCCCTCATCTGTTTCAGGGCAGTATACACAATCTATCCAGTTTTTCTCACCTACCAGACCATTTTCCACAAAAGCTGTAAAATTTTGTATTCCCACTAAAAGGTCAAAGATCCCAGATTGTCCACATTCCCTTCTGACACTTTTCTGTTTTTGTTTTTCTCTTGGCCATTGTAAAATGGTATCTCATTGTAGTTTTAATTTATATTTTTCTGATGGCTAATGATATTGAGCATGTTTTCATGTATCTTGCCACTTGAATAGCCTCTTTGGTGAAGTGTCTGTTCATGTCCTTGACCCAGTTTTTGATTGGCTTGTCTTTTGGCTAAGTTATAGAACTTTCCTGAATATTGTAGAGATAAAGCCTTTATCAGTTCTGTCTTTCCCAAAGATCGTTTTCTCCCCATCTGCAGATTGTCACTTTCCCTTTTGATAAAGCATATTAATTAATAAATGTACATATTTAACTTTTATGAAATACCAGTTATTTTCTCTTGCTCATGGTGTGCCATTGTTATGTTTGCTAATCTGTCACTGAAAAAAGTTAAGTCTCAAACATTTGCTCCTTATAGTTTTTTCCAAGAATTTTATGGTTTTAGATTTAACTTTGAGGTTCTTGATCCATTTTCAATTTGTTTTTGTGTGTATGGCATGAGGTATGTCTCTTATTACATTTTTCTGCACATGGAAATTTTGTTTTGTCCGCATCACTTGCTGAAGAGACTATCCCTTCCTCGAATAGATTTGGTGCCCTTGTCAGAAATTGGTTGAACATAGATGTTGGGTTACTTTCTGTATTTTCCATTCTATTCCATTGATCGATGCTGTCTATAACTAAACAAGTATCAGGCTATTTTGATTACTGTTGCTGTTGTTAGATGTTGTCAAGTCAGCTCGGACACACAGCGGCCCCAGTGTTCAGTAGAATGAAACCCGGCCTGACTCAGTGCCATTCTCAGAATCTCCACTGTGAAGCCCTTGATTACAATCACTGTGCTGATCCCTCTCCTGGAGGGCGAAATAGAGACAGTCCTCCCTCTGCGGTTTACAGCCTTGGAGTCCCATGGACTGTCAGCTATGAGTCACTTGTGACTTGATAGTATTGAGAGTTGAATTAGAAGAACCATTGTTAGCATTTAGCAGTATATTGTTCCAGCTTTAAAAACAGTACTTCTTTATTTTATTCATATTCTTTTCTTTATAGTAATGTGTTTTAAATGTTTATGTATTTTTTTTTCCTTTGTGTTTCACATAAGGGGTAAGAGAGGTGACATTTGCTCATATCCCTTGTGAGTAAGGCAAAGCTGCTTTCAGCTTTTATGCCAAAACTGGGTTTTCCCCATATTCAGGGGTGGGTAGGTGAAAGTGAAGGGAGATCTAGAAATGTACACACTTTGAAACTTCTGAATAAAAATGAGATTCTATTTTGGTTTAAATTTCTGGTGTAATGCCTGCAATTTAACAAAATGTAGTTTATGGAACACTGCATGGTTCAAAATTGGGAAGGGTGTGTGACAGGGATGCGTCCTGTCTCCATACCTTTTGACCGTGTATGCAGAACAGATTATCTGGGAGGCTGGGCTCTATGAGGAGAAATGTGGGGTCAAGATTGGTGGACGATCTAGCAACAATCTGCGATATGCAGATGACATAAGAAACTGAGGAGGACCTGAAGCGCTTGCTGCAGAAGGTCAAGGACTGCAGCCTTCAATATGGATTGAGGCTCAGTGTCAAGAAGACTAAGATTCTTACCACTGGACCAATTGGCAGCATCAGGATGGATGGTGAAGAGATTGAGATTGTTCACAGTTTTAGTTTGCTTGGCTCCACAGTCAACACTCTTGGTACCAGTAGCCAAGAAATTAAAAGGCGCATTGCCATGGGAAAGTCTGCTGTTAGGGACCTCTCCAAAGTACTGAAGAGCAATGGTGTCTCTCTGGAGACTAACGTGCGTCTGATACAGGCCTTGATCTTTACAATCACTTGTTATGCATCAGAGAGTTGGACAGTGACCAAGGAGGATAGAAGGAGGATTGATGCCTTTGAGCTGTGGTGCTGGAGAAGAGTATTGAGAATACCATGGACTGCTAGGAAAACAAACAGATTCATCCTGGAAAGGGTTAAACCGGGTGGCTCCTTGGAGGCAAGGATTCTAAGCCTCCGTCTAACATACTTTGGACATGTTATAAGGAGAGACCGGTCCTTGGAGAGGGACATCATGCTTGGGAGGGTGGAGGGGACAGTGCAGGAGGGGAAGACCCTCTATGAGGTGGATTGATTCAGTGACTGGGGTAATAGGGATGGGAGTGTCAGAGACAGTGCGATTGGCACAGGACAGAGCAGAGTTTAGGGCTGTTGTACATAGTGTTGCTATGAGTCGCAAGCGACTCGACGGCACATAACAACAACAACAGGTAATAGAAGTAGACAAGAGTGCCAGCTTGTTGTACATGGTAATAATGTTATTAAAGGAACCACACAACTATCAGAATATTTAGAGTTGCTAATTGAACACATTTTACCTGAAAGAAGAACCATGGTGTGAATGAAGACAGTTTCTTCTGATGAGTGAAATTATGGAATGTTGACGACTATTATGATCATTTATGAAATTTGACCGTTGTTATGATAAATGCACAGGGTATGATATAGCAGTCACTAGTTGTCTTGTGTATAATCGTAGTGAAAAATGGCTAATGCTCCATTTTTTTCCCTCTCTTCTCTTAGGTCCACACATAATGAGCTGGAAAAGAATCGGTGAGTCATTGACGAGCGGCAGCTTTCATTTATGTTACAAAGCAAACATAAGAGTTTCTTGGTGACTGTAATGGAATAGAATACGGTAGTTGCGTTTTATTTTGAAGCTTAATCACATTATTACAGTTTTTACATATATTTAGTTTTTAAAAAGTCTTTAAAAAGAAATTTCTGTTATTTAAACTGGAAGAAGTAAATATATTTGTAAGTTCATTTGAATTTTGAGTTTATGGTATTGCCTGCTTTATTGCTGTCTTCCCTAACAGGTTAGTTGTGATAGGTTTATGACTTAAATATGGTGTCACTGAGGGATTTCTCAAAGCTAGGTAAAGAGGAACTCTGTTACCATTGTCTGTAGTATGTATGTTGTGTTGCTGACTCTGGTGCTTCAGATCTACCAGTTACTCCTCCAGAGATTCTTTGGTCATTCACATCCACCAGATGCTCCTCGGGAGAAAGATGGGCAGTCCCTTCCTATGAGTATTTACATTGTTGGAAACCAATGGAGTGTCACTTTGAGTCAGAATTGACTTAATAACCAGGTAGGGTAGGTAGTGAACAGTACAATAAGAAGTACATTGTAGGACATTGACTTTCTCTTCCTTTGTAATTTGTTCATTTATTCATCCAACACATTTTTATCCCATGAACTATGTGTTAGTTCCAGGACAAGTGTCATAGGGGGACAGACAATTGAAATAACTGTATGTTGTTGTTGCTGTATGCCATTGAATTAGAACCGACCCATAGCTGACCCTCCAGTGGAAAGAGATTGTTCATCCTTCTTCTCTGGAGTAGGATTTGAACTATGTGCCTCTAAGATTGCAGCACAACTTCTTACCACTAAGCCACCTGAGCTCCCTAAAGTACTATATGTTGTTGTTGTTAAGTGCTGTCGAGCATAGAACAAATGACCTGAACACTTGTATAACTTTCTGTGCTTCTTGAAGTATATAGGGTTTCTGGAAGTAAGCTATTTTTAGAAGTGGATGCCACTCCTGCTTCCAAGCTTGTTTTAACTGGGGAGCTCGATCAGACACTGTCCACCATGGCTAACTGTTATCACATTTGACACATCAGTGTCAAAATACTATATATTAGGAATAAATATTATTAATGAGAAGGTGAAGACTTAAGTCTCCTTTGACGGAATCTTGGAAGACACATCACAGGGTGAAGAGGGAGCATTATATATTGAAGAAACTGTAAGAGGTTCGGTATAAGTTTGAAAGACTGACCCACATGGCAAACTAAGCCTAGATGTTGAAGGGTCTTTTCAGCTATGCTGAAGACTTTGGACTTTTCTGTGTGCAGTAATGAGCAGTTGAGTGATTATAAGGCATATGATATGATTTGTGTTTTAGAAAAATAACTTTCCAGTAAACGGTTGCTTGGAAGAAAGGCTACGCAGGGAAGGAAGATCCTTTTGGAGGCTGTAGTAATAATCCAGGTCATACACAGAACAGAAATATTATGGAGGGAATGTGCAGTTTTAGATGGTTTTACTATTTATTGAGACAAGGAATATGGGAAAAGAATTAAGATTATGAGAGTAGATGAGAATTGCAGGAGCCTAAGATTCTCCTTTTGGAACAACCATTGGAATTACATGCAGGTCTCATTTTTTGACAAACTATCTCCATCCAAGACCTTCAGGATCTTCCCCTCCCCCCACCAGTAGAAAAAGGCCTTTACAGATTAATGAGCCCACTGCTTCATTTAGCTGTAAGTTAAAAGGTCATACCCTCTATAAACAGGCTTAACACAGTCCTCCAGGCAGAGTAGTGGCTTTTACTGCTTTGTATGATGCTCTGTTCCTATCTCCTGTTAGAAGACTTACTTAAGTCATATTGTAATCATCTGTTCCTATGTTACTTTCTGCCCTGTGACTCTGTCTGAAAGGCGGGATTCTATTTCTTTTAGTTTCCTGTCAGCCTGCGCTTGATGCATGGAGAGTAGGTGTGGTTGTGACTGTTCTGATACTAAATGAAGGTGTAAACTGGAGCTCAGAACTCCAGTGATCTGGTCAAAGACATTTTGCTAGTTTGTAGCAAAGCCGTTTTCAGCAGCAGATCCTCTTTTTATTCAGAATCTTGCAGATCCTCTTTTTATTCAGAATCTCAGTACGTATTAAAAATCTTAGGTAGGTTAAAGGAAGTATATTGTTTAAACAATGAAAAGTACCAAGAAATGACAGCTATGAAGATTCCAAAAATAAAACCGTACACACACCATACTCTAAATTAGAACACAAATTGAGTTATTTTGGACCATCTTAGTTAAAGATCAGTAAACTTTAATTTATTATTTCACTCATCAAGGATATGAGCCGTGGGAGACCCTCTGAAGGGAACCTGGCAAAGCCTTGCATGACACTGGAGACAACAAACTCTCTGTCAGCAAACTATCTGGAGTGGAGCTTTTCCATTTTAAACTTTAATGCATTCTGTCTAGCAGTTTTTCATTTATTGATAATTTAAAAAGAAAACCGTAGAGAAGATATTTCTATCACCCGTCGTTTTGCCTTTGGTAAGATCTGTGTGAAACCAAGAACCTAAATCCAATGCTGTTGAGTACATTGCAGCTTGACAGTGAGTGAGTTTGTCAGCTCAGAACTGCCCCGCAGGGCTCCCGAATCTTAGGGAAGCAGATGGTCCCACCTTTCCTCCACAGAACACCTAGTGGAGTCAAACGTGAAGCAGTTTGATTTTTGTCATCATTTTGAAAAGATTCTCCTATTTGTTTTACAGAAATTTTACACCTTCATATACAAAAATATTTGTCAGACTTATTTTTTTTTCTCTTTGTGTGGCTTTAAGATCTTGCATTTATTTGAAGCAGCTCTGAGGGGTTTGTTGCTGTTGTTTACTGGAGACAGTGCAGTGAGACTTAAAATACCAAAACCGCAAATGGAATCCACTCTTGTTGTGCCTGTTCTTACTCCTACCAACCCTCTGCTGGGTTTCTGAAGCTATACATCTTTAAAGGGAGAGATTGCTGGTTTTTCTCCCAAGGAGTGTCTGGTGGATTTGAACTTCTGACCTTTCAGTCAGCAGCCCAACATGTTATGCATTCATTCTCAGGGCTCTGTGAGGAGTGGAATAAACCCACTGCTGTTGATTCCGTTCTGGTTGGTAGGGCCTTCTGTTGGGTTTCTGGTGTTGTAAATCTTAACTCGAGGAGACTGCCCATCTCTCTGCCTCTCAGGTGCTGGTGGATGCAAACTGCCAAAGACACGCAATGATCTGATTAGCAGCACCACACGCTATAATCCATGTCACCAGAACTACTTTAAGAATTAGAATAAATGACTTGAAATGCTTAGTGAATGGCAGTGTAATTCCACATTTAACAGAGAATCCCTATGAGTTGGAACTGGGCAAATAGAAGTAGATTGGCTGGATTTTGTTTGTTGTGTTTTTTTGTTGTTGTTGTTTTAAATTTTAAGTCCGTAGGGTTGCTAAAGTCATACCTGATCTTAGTATAAAGATTATAGACAACAGGTGTTAAAGTTTTTACTCATCCCTAAATCTCAGGCTCAATGATTTGGAGGTTCTGGTCCACCGTTACACCAGGAGCCCATCGAAGACCTTTATTTAGATAGTTTGAAGGCTGATAGAGAAGTTCTGGTCCTTCCTGGGAGCTGTTGGCCATCCTGAGCCTGGTCTCCATGGTTGAGAGTGTTTGGGTACCTGCGTTCTTATTCACGCCCCCTAGTCTCACGAGTCACAGCACGCGCAGGAGGTGGAGGTGGGAGGGAAGCAGAATGTCTTTAGATGTCCTCCATTCCTCAGGAACCTATGCAAGTCATTTAATGGTAAATTGAATGAGTCTTTGAGATTGGAGAATTAGGAATTTACTTTGCCAGTTTGGCTTACCTTGTGAATTGGGTCCTTTGCCAGAGAAGAGACCATTGAGTGCAGCTTTTAGGTTGCTTCATTGCTTTTTCATTTCCTTACTTCAAATTACCAATGATGTTTTGGAAAGAGTCAACAACTTTAACAGGACTTTAATGGTGAACAGCCTAGTGCCGACTGCAGGAGAGGCCATTCAACCTTAATAGCTGTCATTCCTCTGAAACGAAAGACTTACCCTGATTACAACTTTGGCAGAGCCAGAAGGGCCAAATGAGGACATTGGGCTAATAATGCTTTCCTGGGCAGAGCAAAAGTGCCTGAATATTTGTTATAAAAGAGAAGGATGGTCCATGAACGTAATGGATGTCTTCCATCGAAGGAGTTTTTAATACCTCTGAGGGAAAGAAGGATGAAAATGAGCGTTTATGGAGAATTTGCTGTGTGCTGTCATTGTGCAGGGTAGGAAGGCAAGAAGTATGAGTTACTGATAACTGCTCTTAACCATTACGATGATTTAAAACAAGGTGGATATGAACAGGAAACAGTTACTAATCATTGTCCTCCTTGTCCATGACTAAGAAAACTATATTTGCAGTAACAGTGAATACCATGTTTGTAGTTGTTTTTATATGCCACTGAGTTGGAACCAGCACCTAGATGAACCTCCAGCAGGTTTTCAGAGGCTGTAAACTGCATGGGAGGAGAGGGCCCATCTTTTTTCTGGAGGAGCAGCTGGTATATTCAAACTATGTACCTTTGGGTTGACAGTTTAACTCCTTGTCGCTAGGCCACTAGAACTCCCTCTGTATTTAACAAGTACTGTGTCTAGCATTGACAAAAACAGGTAGCAGTATAAGATTCTGAGTTTATCCTATCCTTAAACTTAAGGTCATTATGTTGTGGTGTTGTGTACTGCCAAGGCAGAACTGCCCCATAGCTGACCCTCCAGTAGTTTTTTCAGAAGCAGTTAATTGCACAGGAGGAGATTGCCCATCCTTTTCCCGCAGAGCAACTGGTGGATTTGAACTGCGTGCCTTTGGGATCGCAGCACAGCTTCTACCAAAGGTCATTATAGTTTGGTGTTCATAGATTTCATCTTTCAATATACTGGGATGTAGTTAAACAATCTATAAACATCTGGGA